TACCAGATCGGGATTAGGGGTCTACCCTTGCTGTCTTTGAAGGATGCTTTGATGGTATCCTTGGGGAGTTTAAATTTGAAGAACATAAGGTCTACGGAATATGCATGTGTTGTTTTGGATTGTTCCGCTCTCACCCTCTTCTGTATTCGCTGAACTGCGGTCTTCTGTGTTAGTCGTCTGCGGATTTCTGTGAGTTTGTTGTCACGCTTTGCTGTTCGCATTCGTTCTCCTAGTGGTTTCTTTTCCTTGTGTTTTTCGTATACCTTGTTGTACTGGTCACTTGCCTTTTGCTTTTGTTGGTCTGTCTTGGCATTGATGAAGTTCCTTATTAGTTTGTCTGCTGTCGTGAACTGTGCTATTTTTCTGTTATCGTATAATCCGATAATATTTTTGATTTTTGTTTTGGTTGCACTGTTAAGTCTGCCTTGATAAGAATCATACACTGTCTCTAATGCTTTTACACCGCGTTGGATGGTCTTACTCATGTCAATATAATTAGACTATAAAATAATTTTATATTTAAATGTTTTTCTGAAGATAAGTTTTGAAAACTAAATTCTGTTCAGAAAATTCACTTAAAGAAATATTATAATATATAGTATAGTAATATGTCTATGAAAACCCCAGAGGATATGACCATGGAAGAGATAAGAGAACAGTTGGCAATTTACAACCGACTGTATTACTACAAGCGAAGACAGGATGAAGGATATATGCAGAAAAAACGCGATTCTGCCTTGAAGTGCATTCAAAAGAAGAAGTTAAAGCAATATCTAAAAGACAACAATATCAATACCACAATAGAAGATTTAACCGAAGAGCAACTGGCAGAATTCAACAGCAGTCAGAATAAGAAAGGACCGAAGTATGACATGAATAATGTTAAAGTTGTGATGCCCATGAAAGCAGAAGAATGCTGATTTAATTTTAGAAATAAGATTAAATCAATATTTAAAGAGAGGATGATAGAGGATAAATAAGGATATGAACAAATATCAAAATGGAAAGGTCTACAAAACCGTGGATGTCGGCTACAAAAAATGCTACATAGGAAGCACTTGCGAAAGCTTAAATCAAAGAATGGCGAGACATAGAAGCAAATATGCTGCATACTTGAATGGAAAAGTAGAACATACAAGGTCATTCTATTTATTTGATGAGTTTGGTGTTGACAACTGCAAAATTGAACTTATTGAACATTACCCATGCGATGAAAAAGACGAGTTGAGAAAAAGAGAGGGGGAATACATAAGGGCGACAGAATGCGTCAACAAGCAAGTAGCAGGAAGAACGCACAAACAATATTACGAAGAGAATAAAGAAATATGTATACGGAAATGCCGAGAATACAACACAAACAACAGAGAGAAAGTTGCATGTAGGATAAAGGAATATGCTCGTAAACATAAACGAGAAGTCCAAGAATATAAGAAGCAGTATCAACAAGAACACAGACAAGAAATCAAAGAATACATGCAGAACTACTACAAGACAAACAAAGCGAAAATTCTAAGCAGACAGGGAGACAACTACAGCAAAACATACATGTGTGAATGCGGATCTGCTTGTCGCTTGGATGGAAAATCAAAGCATGAAAAAACGATGAAACATCAACTGTATAAGAGCAACTTGGAAAAATAATATCGCCTTCATTATAATGAACAGTTCTAAGAAAGATGATATAATAAACAACATCTTTTATGATCGCTCTGGTTTCGGTTCAATTGCCACTACATACAACGACGTGAAGCAAAAAGACTCATCTATAACACTGAATGATGTTAAAGAATGGTTCAAGAGGAATGTTGAACAAAAGAAACAGTTGAGGGGACAGAATTCCTTTAAAGAACCATACTGGGAATATCAATTTGATCTGTTTTTTGTGAATGATATTCCTGACCAAAAATTTAAAGTAGGTGTTGCAATGTTGGATATATTCACGAAGTTTGCAACAGTAATACCTATTAAGAGTAAGAGCGAAGGAGATGTGGCAAGTGGAATGATACAAGGCTTCAAAGAAATGGGTAGGACACCAAAATTACTCTACACAGACGATGAAGCAAGTCTAAGCACAGACGCAACGCAGACATATTTAAGAGAGAACAACATTCATCATCACAGAACGAGGGGGCATGCCAATTTTGTTGAGAGGTTCATACGCACTTTCAAAAAGATGATGTATGATAGAATAGAAGCAGATGAAAAAAAGGGCAAAACAAATATTCAGTGGATAGACTATGTGTTTGAGGTATTACTCACATACAATAACAAAATGGTGCATTCAGCGCATAACATGACGCCCAAAGAAGCGAGAAAACCTAGCAATGAAATGAATGTAAAACTGAACCTGAGTTTGAACACCAAGCGCAACAGAACATACCCTGAAGTAAATGAGGGAGATAAGGTGAAAATACTTAGGAAAAAGGGCGTAGGAGAAAAGGAGAGGATAAGCACGTGGTCACAAAACATTTACACCATTCAGAGAACTGAGAATAAATTAAGTCAAAGTTATTATTACGTGGAAGGTATGGATAGACCTTATTTAAGATTTGAGTTGTTGAAAGTTTAACATAAGAAAAGTGTTTTCAAAAATGATGGGCTATCTATATATATATATATATATATATATTATGATACACGAAGAAGACATGTGACTTTGATTTCGAATGTGCAGAACGTAAGGCACATAGAAACATAAAGCGCGAGGTCTTGATGTGTGTCTTTGACGAAAATGTTGCTGATAATACTACTTCTTATCCAACTGTTCAGAAATGCTAGAGCATGAGAAGGTTTACGGCCGTCAGAACACAATACACACGTAGGATTCAAAAGCACTGCATCTCGACTCCTTCCGACATAATTACTGTACACACGCGAATCTGCACTGAGCTCAACCTATGGTTTAGGGTCTTTGCGAGCCCGAGCATGAGGTGCTGACCTGTCATTCCACTCACACCCCACGGAAACATACAACCCAAGCAGACAAAACTGACCCACGCATCAAGAGTTTTGTCTTCGCACCCGCTTGCAGGGAGGCGCCTCAGATGCCTCATCAACTTCTTCTGAACTAGCAAGAGCGGAGAGTTCGGTAATTCTCTCCGCAATTTCAAGGCATTTTTCGCTCGTTACGTTTACAGTGGACAGGAATGCTCGATACCTGAGTCCTAATGCCCTCCTGTACGGTAAGATGTCTTTGTTCATGATGTGAAACTTTGCATGCGGTAGGAACTTTCTCAGCGGCTTGCCTTCGATGGCTTGACTTGCCAAGAACCAGGAAGTCGTGGGTCCACAAAGAACCGCCCAAACGCCACTGCTGTCAAATGCATGTGGCACAACGGTGATTCTCTTGTTGTCAAATTCCTGATGACATGACCCTGCGAATCCGTGGCAAAGGAGAAGACTGTTGCGCACGTCATCATAATAAAAAGCCCGCTCGAACTTCTTTCCCTTTGGAGGTGTGTCAAATTGGCTGCTGTGATGGGTGGCAATGTGAGCTACGCTCAAGACTGTCGAATGTTGCTGATACTGCGTGCCGCAGAAAGCACAGCACTCAGAGTACGCTGACCAGCAGTTGTTGTTGGTGCTCGTAGAAAACCTGACTGAGGCTTCTCCGGCAAAGGAAGAGACGCTATCAGTGTTGGTGGCCGCCTGTTGCTCAAGTTGAGCAATTCTCCCTCTGAGCTTTGCAACTTCACTTGCCTTGGCATTCAAAGCGCAGGGAGCTGAAAATTTGGGCTGGAATCGTGGGAACTGAGTGCAACAGTATGCTACATCCCAAACCAGCACCCGATTCACCAAACAAACCAAGCAATAAATCCTAGCAAGGACCAAACCTCCTAGCGTGAACTACTTAAGGGGACTAAATAGGCTAAGTAGTGGGGATAAGCGGGGAAGGGGAAAACTGAACAAAAGAAGGAAAACATGAGGATATGTTGGGACGAGATGCCTGTGACTGTGCATGAGGCTCGTCGTAGGTGACAAAAAGCGGGCTCTCGTCGGTCTCGCCACCAGTGATAGCAGTCATGTGCTCGCCACGGCGAAAGAATTTCGACTGTTGTGCATTTTGCCAAAGTTTGAGCGTGTCATCGGGGCATGGCAACTGCGATTTCTTATGAACCCAGACGAGAAGTTCTTCCACTTCTACAGCGGTTGCTTCACCAAGGTCGCTCTCCCATATCTTTCTTGGATAACGACCCTGCACTTGCACCCACCAGAACTTGCCGTTCCTGGCAGGTGTTCTGCTCCTCTCACGGCTCGACATGGGGCTCTCGGAATGAGATGACTCCTGTTCTTATGGAGGGCTGTAGGGTTTAGGAGGCATAAATTTGCATTGAAAACAACACCTGCATGATCACATTCCTTTTCAGTTCTGAGCCTGCAGGCGCAGAAGTCGCGCTCTGACTTCCCTTGCGCAACACCTTTGGCGCAAAACCTGGCAAAATCTATGAGAGAACCCTTGCCCACTTTGGGATGATAATACCACCTTAGGGAATATGGATGGGGTAATTGGTTATTCCTATACTGGTCTTGGTAATGGGGTAGTAGTGGTGATATTTGGGGGATTGTAGTAGGGAGTATAGGAATATTCCTCTTATATGGATGAGGTAATCGGTTATTCCTATACTGGTCTTGGTAATGGGGAAGTAGTGGTGATATAGTTGGTGAGGTGTAGGGGGGAGTATAGGAATAATCGTCTAATGGGTTGACTGGTGGTATTATTACCCAAAATGGGCAAGGGTTCTGCTAACTATAATAACACCAATTCTTTCAATAATATTACCACATTCCATGCCAGTATATAGTGTCATAATAACACCATTTCTTTTTATAATATCAAATAATGATGATAATGATGATGATGATGTTGATGTTCATGATATTTTACAAAATGCGCATGACTTCCTAAAACACCTACTAATGTTCCAACCATGTATGTCATTTTGTCATAACACGAATTTTATTTATTTTGGCTCAGCTTGGCTCAGCTTCCAAACTCCCGCCTCACGGCACTTCATCTTTGGATCCTTGAGATGTTTTGTGTTGGCGATCCTAATTACCAAGTTCTGTCCCGAGCAATTGCATGCACATGGCTGTGTCACCTGGTCTGTCGTAACTTGGCCTCTTGCATCAGTATATTAGAGTCTTGGAAAGATGCAACCACATGCATGCCTGTTTGTACAACTTGATTGCTGAGGATGCGTCTGCCAGAGTTGCTCTCAGTGGTGCGAGGAAGACCTATGATGCAGCATTGCGCGTGGCAGCAGTACAAGACATCTGTCAAACACATATGCCAGCATGGAGCCACTCTTCAGCAAAGTATGTAGCACAGAACATGGGCAATGTCGCTCCAACTTGCATGCCGCTCCGGGAACTGGAGCCATGCATATTCATTGTTGATGGGATTGAAGCCCTTGATGCACGGTACCAGTATATGCGACAAGCCCGCGCCACTCATGAAACTAGCTGCAACAGCTTAAAGATCACAAGGCAAGAGAGAATCTCGGTCTTGGACCCTCTCTGCGGGCTTTGGACCGGCGCTGGCGACGCGGCTTCCGCCCAGCAAAGACCTGGCGGCAGCGGAAATCATTACAAGAATCATCTAGCGCAGATGCGCAAACTGTCTCAATGCCCCACTCCACAGTACTCGACAAGTGCTTTCCTGAAGTTCTTCAGCTGGCAGCACAGGACACGTGCGAGCCTCGAGATGCTGGCCTTGTGCGAGGAGGTGCGAGGCAGCTTTTGACAGCTTGTGCAATGGCAAAGTATCTGCACCCGTTGAACAGCGCATGCAGCTAAGAAGATTTGCTTTGGCGGGCTTGCCTGGTTGGAGAGCCGCAGCGCGTGATTGGTGTGGTTGTAGTAAACGAATCGATACTCATCCTGTTTCAAGATACTTCAAGCCACAGTCACATGTCCAGATGCCTAGATTCGGACGGCAAGGGGGTGTACTTTGTAGCTTCGCCACGTTTTTCTGTTACCACGACACGGATGTTTTAGTGTTATCAGGAGAAGCAGTACGGTTGCTTGTTTTCCACAAGCACAGAAGCTGCACCTTCTGTTCTGTTTTTGTCAAGTTCAGGGTTCCAAAGGACCTTTAAGGGAGCTTCTGAAGGGGTCTGGGGGCGAGAAGGGCAGGAAAACAGACTACATTCACGGGCTGCTCCCTGGTCTGTTTACGGCTTGGACTGTCTGGGAAGCCCTACTAGGCCCTGAAGACCTTGGAAAGGACCTGTATTAACGGGCTTCTGACAACTTTTGGGGGCGAGGGCTGGGCTACCTTCCCTGGCTGCTCCCTAGTTTGTTTATGGGTTAGTTACAGGTTTAGCTGGGGGATTAGCTGGGGGTTAGCTACGGCTGTATGTTTTCCATAACAGCTGACTCTTGTCATGTTAACCCACAACGGGCTTGTCGCTGTAACGCACGGTGCTTGTCACTGTAACCCGAAACCTGTCACGGTTACAACTGCCCTTGAGCACAGAATATCTCTTTGGCATATCCAACAATTTAACTCAGACCAAGCGGAGAACTGGAAGATTATGAAACACTCGGCTCATGATGTTCTGGAGACTCTCTGCTGTGTCAAGCAAGTGCCCCACAAGCCCCGACAAAGGACATGGTATAGCTATCGTTGTGTCTGAAGGCCTTCTCAGGTTCTGGGTGGGAGGACACCCGTGAAATCATCCTTGTGGGCTGCATCCAAGAAAGTCTTTCACTTGCCACAGGCTGCAGGGCTGAGGTTTGCCTTCGGACTGTGGCGGATCTTCCCCCCCTTTCGCCACTACAAGTATAGACGCTGATGGTTGCTAACAGTATGTTGGCATTTGTTGACCACGTGCGTGGCAATTGCCATCACGAGTTCTACTGCGGAGTACGCGATGTATAGGTCCTTACTTCCGTGAGTGAACTCATTGGCCCTCTTTATGCTCGCGATCTGAGTTGCCCAGGCACCAGCGGAGCCTTTTCGCCTTGTCCATTTTGTCCATGGCTTCTGGACGGAAAAGCTGCGCCCAAACTCTGGTGCGGGATAGCATCAGTTCGAATTTGTTTGCATCGACATGCTACGGAAATGTCAAGTATGCGTGTATTTGTGCAGGCAGCCCCTACTCTTCCCCCCTAACTGAGCCCCGCCTCTTGCTCCATGACCTGGGCGTACTGCGGAACGATGAGGGGGTGGAGCTCCACCAGTGAGAGCCCGTCCCCCTGGAAGGCAGCTCTACATCAGGTTAGTTTCAAGTCTCTACTTTGCTCACACATGGATCAAGTGCTCATATCCTAAGATGATCCTAAGATGTGTTAGGGCACAGCCAAGGGCTGCATGTGTTCATCTTGTGAAGCCCATATGTGCCCATGCTGTGACGATTGGAACATAGCCCTTCCAGGGGGCCAGCTGAGTTACGGCTGCAGAAATCTCGCAGAGACTCCAGTAGCCTCGAGCAAGGCTCCGCAAAGAGTACAAAAAACAAAGGCCAACACAGCTACCCGCAGCGCACCACAGTGCATCTGGCCCGAGCCAAGTCGAAGCCATGGCTGCTGAACTGCGGAATTGTGCGTGTCCATAAGATCCCATGGCGGGAGCGCACCATGTTGCGCACGGGAACTGGCAGGAACACACAGAGATTTGGGGGCTGTTGAGGCCAGAGCCTCACATCAATGTGAACCTCCGCATCGAAGATCAAGACCAGCATGATCTGCCAACACGCAAGGGCAGAATACGGCTCAAGAACATTTGACAAGAATATATGACACCACATTCGAATAAGTTTCAGACCGTGCAGCTGCAGGCTGCTACAGTACTGCAATGTCGCATCATTTTTCTTGCTCACCCTCTCCCGGCCCCACGGAAGGTGAGTGCCACCAGTTGCCCTCGCCCAGCGTCCTTGGCTAGTACGAGCGAGCATGCAATGGATCAACTGGGCATCCTAATAGTCCGACAGTCCGAGAGCTTCAGTTGCACAGCTACTTAAACCTGCTGTCAAACAACTTGCCTTGCAGGTAGTCGCGCCTAGCATTCTTGCCGTGCATGTGTGGATCACGAACTTTTGCATCGACTTGATTCAGCTAGCACATGTTCAATCTTGGCAGTGTTTGTAATTGTCATCACGCAGGGTGACGTCTACGAAACAAATGAAGCTATGGGTGGCTGGATAGGAAGCTGGATGCAGGTCTGAGATGCCAGATTAGTTTACTACTGCCAGATCGACCAAGAAGTTCGTGGACGAATGTGGACGGCCCTATCCCTACTTGTCTCAATGCCTTTGAATTTGATGCACGCTTGCTTGATGGAAAGAGATGAAGGCTACAGCCAACGCCACAATGTCACAATAACATGTGCAGATCTGATTTTCCAAACATCAAACATGACCTTGGAACCACAAGTGGCAAACACGGGACTGAGGTGGCCACTTCCCCTCTTAAAACGCAGGAAAATTAACTACGACCTAACAAATAACATCTGTCGCTAATAGTATCCACAAATTGGTGATCTGCAGTAGCTCCCTGCTACAGCGCGATACAGAACTGGACTGAATATCATACAACGTACCAACAGCTTTGAAAGTTGCCCTGACTTCGCCGGTCGGACTTGGTCAATAACTGCTTGAACAACCGAGCTTCTAGATGGACGGCTGGAACGAAGAGTGAAGCGGGCCTGCCGTGGTCGAACAGTCAAGTCTGTGCCTGTTGACAGCAAGTCGCAGGCAGAAGTTATAGCAGAAGTTACAGAGCATGCAAATGCTGGCAGCAATGTTGAAGCTGATGTGCAGAATGCAAGAACTGACTGCAGTCGCGAAAACCGCGAGAGCGTCTGGTGAAAGCCTGTGTGTCAGGCTTGACCACTATCTTGCACTGCAAGCCACGCAACAACTGTCGCTCAATGCCCTGTGCAGGCTGTCGAATTCTTAGCCTTATTATTGTACTGCTCCAATGCAGAACATTGCAGAACTAGTTGAGAGTTGCCCGCTGTTGCTCGTGGCAGTGAATGCGCTTTGGCGGCGCTCCGTGCTCAACCACCCTGAGGTGCGGTCCTTGGCCAGGGTGTCTGCGCTTTGCTTCTTTGCTTCTTTGCTTCTTTGCTTCTTTGCTTCTTTGCTTCTTGCTTCTGCTGACAAGCAAGCTGACATTAGGCCCGCTTCTTCTAACCTTCAGCACATGTTTTCAGATTCAACACCATCAACACCTAAGATCGCGCTGTGATCCACTGTGTGCCCAGCTCCGGCATGTTGTCTCCGGACCAGAACCAGGCGCCCGCCGCGCCTGCCGCCTCACCATGACAACAACAGGCAAGCGGGAGAAAACAATCTACGAGAAGAAAGGGATGCGTCTGCGTGGGGTAACAGCGCAATAGCAACATGTCCTCGCAAAAAGGGAGGCGAAGTAAGGTGACTACTTGTAAAGGCAAAGTGGGCGTCGAGACCCTTGCCTGGAGGCCAAACTGCGCGTTTTCACTTTATTGAGCCTATGGAGAGATGGGGACAATGTGGACAACTTGTGATGTGATCGGGCTTCGCAGGGCTTTGCAGGGTTTCGAAGGGCCTCGCAGGGAGATCAACGGCAGGAGGGCAAATCGAGCCATCCTATAGCCCCAATGGATGCACCAACAACTCTGCGAATCTCTGCTTGGCCTGATTGATGTGCAAGAAAGGTGCAGGGACCGAGGAATGCTCCACCTGTCTCTGCTCTCAGAATTTTCCCGTTGTTTTTATGTTGCTGTGGCTGTTTTGGGGTGTTACTTTGCTTTGGGTCTGTTTTTTTGCAAGCCTGGCATGCCTTGTCTTGGGTCGGACTTCTGCGCTCAACACCAAAGCATGCAGGAGCACCAGTCTTCGTTCTGCCGGCGAGAGGTTCAGGAGCGTGCACAGGACCGGAACTAGTGACCTGGATGGCTTTGGCTGTGAAGCTCGAGCAATCCAAACCTGGGGTTCAAACTACCCATGACACTTCTGAAGTATGTTTTCACTTGTCTCATCTTGTGGTGGAAACGTGACTTTGCGGACCCAGCCGCACACTCGAAAGGAAGGGCACTAGTCCAAGGACCCGGCTGAGATTTCAGATCACCCTTCTGGCAGTACTCGATGTACTTGAGCACAACATGTTTCAGATAATCTCCTGCCAGATAGAACATTGAACAAGCATGTTTCACACATGTTCATCATGTTCAAGCAGGAACACGTTGAGATCCGAGGATGTGTCCAACATGCCACGAGCCAAGTCTTTCGAACTTACTTGTTGCCTTACCCGAACTCTTCCGGATGATGTCCCGCACACACCTCTTACTCCATCTTGTACAGTCCGAGGCAGCGCTCCTGCAACATGTGTTCGGCCTTGGCTTGATTCCAACTCCCGAATGCGCTCCTTGAGGACCTGCGCGAAAACAGATGCAGTGGCACAGTTTCGTCACATCACATCTCGGCCAATCTTATATACTTCATGCCGAAATGTAGCAAACAGCAACTGTGCATGCATGCATCACAGAAAGTGCCTTCTCCTGGGCATAGCTCATCTGCAGCATCTTCTGCACTTCGGCCACGGACTGGTTCAATTGCTGGACCTGCACGAGCAAAGACCAACTCTCTGCTACTGATACATGCAGAACGCAAACGGCTCTCCTGATTGCGGGCACTCATGATCCGCCGGCCCCGCTGTCGGCGTCAGTGAAATCCCGAAGGGTCTCCCCTCCCCTTCCGTCCGTTCTGACGCCTCCTTCCTGTCCCACCCCCCCCCCCCCCCCACCCCACCCCCCCCACCCACCCCCACCCCCCCATCCCCACCCGCCATCCCACTGTCACGCCTCTCAAGGGCTCCAACCCAGCCTCCGCCCACACCGCCCCCACCGCCCACCACCATCCCTACCTCCTTCATGTCCTACCTTGACCACCCCCACAGCCCGCCCCTCCCCTGCTGCAGCAGGTAGCGCACCAGGTGTGCGTGGCCGAGGTCTGCTTCTCCTCCGGCACGTCGGCTAGCACTGCCGGCGGGTCACCGCACTGACGCGCTCCCGGGGTCGCAGCCATTCAATAATGTCTGATACAGCGAGCAACAATCTCTGCAGGCTGTGTGTGACGGGAATCGTGCAACATCATATGATGGATGCCCCCGACTTTCGCCAGAACATAATGTATTTGCAAGTGGGTCAGTTTTCGTCGTGTGTTTGGCCTCGTGTTGGTAACTAGTCTCGGCTTCAGCCAGAGAGGGCCAGGCTGGTTCTGAATGATACGTTCTAGGGCTACTGCTTCCTCCTACCTGTAGCTAGTCAACTCTAGCGAACGGTTGATATGCAACGCCCATCAACATTTCGGATGGATGCACTTGTGCTGACAGTGCCACAGAAACATAAAGCAGTAAAGATGTGATTCTTAGGATAGGCTCACCACACTCTGATGAAAATGAAGATGTGGGGAATCTACACATGAGGTCACGCAGAGCACTGCCTGCCGCTGCTGATTCTTCATCTCCACCTCCCGGCCAGCCTGTAGACAGCTTGCCGAAGCAAAGACACCGCACACAGCAGCACTGCCAAGGAACAATCTTGTATCAATGCATGCCGGGGCATGCCGCAGTCCCACCCCTGCTCCTCCCCACCCTGGGCTCCTGCTGTTCAGCCAGTCTGGTGATGAAGTCGTTGCTTGAAAGCTCCTGGCCATGGCGTCATGGCGTGATGCAGCACCAAGCCGAACTCTTCTTCGCTTGCTGCATGAGCTGTCCACGCAGTCACTCTTGATGCTGCAGCCCGGCTGCACGCGCACCCGAGGGTAAAGTCAACCTCCCTTGTCACTTCATTCCACCCGCCCGCGAGTCTTCAGGGGTCAGAAAGCATATATGAAGGCCGAAAGATTCGCGACGACTTCCAAAAATTGAAGGCTGAAATGGACTCAGCTTCGCCTTGTTTTTCCCGCCGAGTCTCCGCTCCCACGCTGCAGCCATCTGCAGGCTGAGCATGAGGTGAACCAGGCAAAGCCCAAAGCCCAAAGAAGAACCAATCAATTGGTACTTGCGAAAATTGACTTGGGATGCGCTCATCTGCTCAGATCACAGCTGCTGCATTGTTTCCTGGGCACAAGCTGCGTATTCATGACATCGGCTGCCAATGCTGTCCTGCTTTACTTTGGAGCCTAGAGTGCACGCCGCAAGAATCGTCTTGCTTCTGAGTTCAGTCTATGCAGTGGGTAGATTTGGATGAGTGTCTTGAACGGACTGCCAAGTCATACCGTTCACCACGTCTGTGTACCTGAGTATGTGAGGGCGGCAACGAGCTTTCTTGCGCAGAAGCAAACCACATCTGAACCACTCGTTGTCTCATTGTGAGGACTTAAAGAAACAAAGCCAGGCAGCCCGAGACTTTTCAGTGCATCCTGTGCCGCTTGGGCGCGAATGCCTTTGCGAGCTGCGCGCTAGGTCCGCTAGGTGCAAGGCAAAGTCGAAAAATATTCGTGCAACATCGGGCAACTATCTGCTAGCAGAGCTGTGCCACCCTCGGCAGCCTTCCAAGACACTCCTCTGCGAGTCCTACACAGCTAAGCCTTTTGTTAAGAATGCATTCGAAACCTTTTCACAACTTCAAGCAATTCCATTCCCGAGTGCCTCGGGCACAAAACACCACCATCGGCGTGTCCGTGTCAGGTGGCAGCTGGTTCTTGCGGTACTTGATCCTCAGTCATGGCTCCAACTTGGCGGCTCGTAACGGCTCGTAGCTTTGTGTTTCAGCTGCTTGCAGTCACCCTGCTGCCTTATCTGCATGTCCAGAGACGATGCCAGAGTTGCAAGCTCAGATATTCTGATGTTGTCTCATGTCGTACATGCATCTACCCAGCTGGAACATCAGGGGACGGTGGCTTGTTGCTTGTTCTTGCCTACGGCGCTACGAACTGTTTTCGAGCCGATGCAGCCTCTTGGGGGAACGAATTAACCCCTTTCCCCTTGATCCCGATTTAATCTCTCCCAACTGTGCCAGTTGACAATATTCTCGTCTGCAATTGAGAAGGGCATCCTTACATTGACAGACCTTCACAGGGTGTCCGGTTGAGCAACCGGCCATCAGACTTGCAGTCCATGCTTGTACTTCCGGCGGGAAGGTTCAGCTGATGCAAATGATTCATGCCAAACCAATATTACAATTTGCAATTATGCTCTGCTTTAACCCGGAGAACCAGCTCTGATCGGCATGTGTGGGTTTCAGACGATGTTCACGATGCTCAACGTAATCTTACTTGATCAGCCAATCCGGGATGTTGCGGACCAGCGACACCGCTGACGGTGCAAACGGTCCACGTTCCCTTCTCGCCGCTGACACTGTTTCTCACGCTTGCTCTAAGTTTCTGTGCCTCTGTCATCATCAACTTGAGATCCTTCTCCTGTCGAGCCTGTGGGGGTGAAGTGAGCCTCCTTTCCATGCAATGTTAGATGATTGTATATAGCCAAAGAACAAAACGAGCGTGCACCATTGAGCATCAGATGAGCAACTGGGCACTTTGCCAACAAGCGATTGCATTCATCTGAACGAGGTGCGCAGTTATGCATGCAAGAACACGCAAAGCCGCATCCTGCAAGCACTATGAGTGCCAAGGTGCTTGCAGCATTCTAGGCTGAGACTCGGCACACTGCACTTCGTTATTGCAGGAGCTTGTGAGGAGAAGAGGCATAGAGTGGAGACAG